CAGTGATAAAATAAAAATGAAATACTTTTTTTAACCAATCAGCGGACAAAAAACGTAGCTAATAAAGCTGCTTTTGCCTTGCCTTCATGCTCAAATCTCGAAGAAAAGGCCGTTGTGTAGCGGTCTCAACGTTTGTGTAATACACTAAACTTTTAGTGTCGCGCGGGTTTGTTCTTGTCTAGTCTTTCCTTGATTGCTTGCGGTCAGAAGTATTTGAATGTTTGTAAATAAACTAATAATGAACTAAAATTTTCGTGTCGAGTGAGTCGTTCTTGTCTAGTCTTGTCTTGATTGCTTGTAGTCAGAGGCAGGTATTTAAACGTTTGTATGATACACTAAACATTTCGTGTCGAGAGAGTTTAGTTTTTTCTTGATTGCTTGTCATCGGATACTACTACCACATTTAAAACATATTTTAAGGGGAATTCTTTTGTCGTCTGAGGTTCTCCTTAACATTGTCAAATTTTACCTTTAGGGACAGTATTTTTATTATGGAACTGTTTTCATTCTCTTCATTGTCTTATGTTCCCCATGGCAACCCTTTCACCAGGATTTTAAAAGAATGGTGAAATTTCAGAAAATTTCCTCAAAATTTGGGTGGTGCACAAAATTCTAAAGGGTGGATACAAACAATTGCTATTTTAGTACATAGCAAGTGACACGCTAAGTCTGTTTATTGACCTTGCATTTGCATTAATATTTTTTTGAAGCGTGGTTCCAATATTTTAAGCATGGCGTATAATTTGCCTTTTTTAATATTTTTATATAAATTATGTTGTTTCTGTGAGTATCCAACGTGAAAAGATATTTTTATCTGCCATTAAAAATCCTAGTTAATCGTTTTTCATATTATTAATTTATTTACATATATTCTTGTTATAATAATGATTTACTATAAATATTGTTTAACATTTACGGAAATAAATGTTGTTTAATGAATGAATAATTATTCATTCAACAACAACTAGGCATCAGTTATTATTTTTAATGGTGTCTACCATATATTTCTTCTTCAATTATATACAGATAAATAAAAGCTCCATTGTACAAGTATATTTATTCAATTTGTTTTCAACGTAGTACTATCAGATTGTTTTGAAAGCTTAATGCAGTCACTATAACAATATTCGAA